GCCAGTAACTACCACGCTTGGCAGGTTGGTTAGCACCGCAGTTAGGCTTTGGTAATCTTTAAAGAAGGATGCTGCTGTTCATCCCTCGACTATTAAGATCTGTTAGTCGCCTTTTACGACATCCACGGAAAAGCTAGGGGTGGTCCATTCTATGCCAAAAATCAGTATATAAAGTATTCTGCATGCCAAGTTAGGTTATAACTTATTCTTGTACAATATTTTTGCAAATATCCATTCATACATACTCACAAACTTTCTCGTTTATAATAGTAAGGACACAATAATGACCCGTTTACATATTTTAAATCAATACCTTTTAATTATGGAACGCTTAATAAAGCTATTATTAAGAGTGTTTAAAATGAAGCATGGCAATCTCGCAATTATTTATAAATTTTTAAAAACATTTGAACATTTTTAATGTTTCTGATTATTTAAAAGTTTTTTGCCAGCGAATTAAAATGTTAATTATACAATAGTATACTTATTAAGTTATCGCTGAAAATTTGGATTTTGATGGTAGATTTATATGCAGTATATTTTCTGTGTTAATGTTTGAGTTCGCTAGCAGAGCACTTTTCAAATAATGAGCCAGAAACATTGAATAATTTATTTTTGGAAAATTGACATATAATTGCGACGTTGCCATACTTGGGTAAGCAAAAGTTATGAACGCTCTTGTATAACAAAATATGTATATATACATAATATATATTTATTTTAAGCATTATGTACCAGAGGGAGACTTTGTACAAAAGTCGATTGCTTGGGTACCTCTGTCCCATTCATGTTTCTACCGTGAAGCAGTTGTGTTTGCATCGCTGTGTTTCGGTTTGAAAGGTGGGATATGGCGTGAATTTACAGGGTACAGAGGAATAACACTCGAGTCCTCAGGAATGGCAACGCATGGGGGGTATCACGGGCGAAACAGTATGTGTATGTACTGTTATGTCCATGGTACTGCTCATGTCTATAGGCGACGGTTACCACTTTCCATCAGGTGGGCCGTCAGTTTGTTTGCCATTCTAAGTTGTATAAAAAAAAAGCTTAGATTATATATATATTATGACGACAAATTATATGTTACGGCGCGACATGATATAGAAAAGCAAATGTATGTAGACAGCTTTAATTTTACAATAATCATAATGATATTGCGATCTTTAGAAAGCTGCAGATAGGTACTATTCTTAAACAATATTGTGATTGTACACGAAAAATAAAAAAAAATGCATGTATTGATAAAATCGCCGAGCAATTTATGGTAAATTTATAATTTAAGGGTCAATTATAAGTATCCAATGAATACAAGTCAACACCAAACATCCACTTTAATTTTATTGTAGCAGATTCTGTGGACCATAATCTTCAAAATTTAAAGGCATCCATAATAAATAATAATATATACATTGTCTTTTGTTTGGTATGTGGTTTATCGGTGTGCCAATTTTCATATAATTAGTAGGCAAGAGTACAAAATTGTAGTTGTTTTTAAAGAAAAAAAATCTTATATAATTTTGTTTACAAAGATGGAACGCTTCCTATTTGATTCATAAGACTATTTTTGTGTTGGCAGTGATATAGGTATTGTATACAAAATAAGATGGTTCTATTTTTTGTAATGGCAATTTATCACAAACAAATTGCCTAATAGCAAGCCAAATCCCAATTTAAAAAAAAATATTTAAAATCAGAACTTAATGCGATGCGATTTAAAAATTGCCTAGTTTTTAAAATAGGATGTACCTACAATGAGAAACTAGATAACGAAAACTGTTTAGTTCGTACATAGGCCTGAGCGAGGATCGAACAGAAATGAAAATTTTGTTGCTTCGCGTAAATGACGTATTGGTCATTAGCTAACCAACGAAAGTTATGGCATTCCATATTTTAAATTCTAAAGAGCAATTGAAATGGCGTGAGTATCTATTATTAAATACATGATTCAGAAGTTGAATTTAGCCAGTCTCCAGAACGTTCATGATATTACGATAAATAACATTCCATCTAATAAGTGAAATTCCAGACATTGTCCTATAGTAGGTACCCAGACAGATAAAATTCTACGTTTTACTGATAGCATCTATCAGAACCTATGTAATTAATAACATCATTAGACTTAAGATATTTTGGCTTATGTCCAAACTACGTCACCCTTTGGACGGACATGGTTAACCTATATCATTTTAAACCAAGGACACATTCAAAACTAAGTAATATGTACATATTTATTAAAAGTGAAATGTTTCAATTTTTTTTAATAATCCACTGCGGTAGTTATTGGACTCTATACAGATTATAATAGATTTTAATTATTGATTTGAAAAATATTTTACTTATTACTAAGTAATAATTGAGATATATAAATATTGAGAATGACAAGCGTGCATGGTGTTAGTCGATCATGCACGGGCTTTTTAATGACCATGTAATTTTAGACATAGTACATTTAAGTAAATAGGTATGTATAATGTAAACAGATTTAAAAGAGTAACTGTTGAGTTTCTTTGCGGGCTCTTCTCAACAGATAACAACTTTCCGAACCCTGCAGTAGATTTAAAAAAAAATACGATTTAAAAGTTCTATTTGAATAAACATATCTTCCAAGTCTGAAAGTCTAGGGCACAGATTTTCTAGTTCACATTTCACTTGATCGACATGATTTATTTTATTACATCAGTCGTTAACTCTCCACTGTTGAAGATAGATCTTCCCCATAAGGGGAGTTTTGTCAGTAGGTGCCACGCTTGGCGGATTGGCATCCGCATTTAGTCCTTGGAGATATTTTAGGAGGGAATCTGTTGCCTATCCCTCGACCATTAGGTTCCCTTAGTCACCTCTTACGACATCTACGGGCTAGGAAAGGGTGGGGCTTATTCTATGCTAGGACCACACGACAACATGATATAGGGTTTTAATTCGTGTTTTCCTTCATTGAAAGTAATATTTCGTGTAGATGTGTTTTCCCCTAATAATCACTTACGATATCCTGGAGATAAATATGGTGGTATCATATCGTCACCACGTGGATTATGATATATATTCTTTAATGGGTGATAATGAAATAGTAACCCCGCCTGCGTTATCGGTATTCACCGGCGAAGCACTAGTGAGAGATGGCAGGTGAGAATGAAAGCAGATCAGTTAGTCTATTCCGATGAATTCTACTAGAATTAACTACGATGGTTTCCAGGTAAAATCACGTAGAGATCGACCTGAGAGCAGTAATGGGTAACAATCCATTTCTCACCGGACTAATATAGTTTGTATCTATGTAAAATTATTTCTCCATATAATAAAGACTGGTCTTGATTAACTTTCGGGTGTAACAATGTATAAATTAAACATTAGGGTCGGAAAAACTTGGGCATTAGAAAAGGATTTCCAGAAATCTCTACTGGAATGGGAGATAGTTTTCCCTCGCCATGGAGTAACCGCAATTTATATAAGTAATTTACAAAATATAAACAAAGATGTAGATAAATTATTGGGTTATGGATATTTTATTTAAGTATTTACTTATTAATTATATAACGATTATGAATGTATGTAAATATTTTGTGCCTAATTTATTTATTTGACAGTGATCATTAGGTAAACGTACCTTATATGACGTGTAGTATGCCTACTATATTATAAAGATTCATGCGCGTAGCAGTGGTTGTTACGTAAATTTCATTTGGCAGGTTACCAAATTTTATGTTGACGAAGTATAAAGAAAGAGCGGATGGAAGTTTTAATTGTGTCAATTTTATTGTTTACTAGGTGTAGCGACAAATTGGTCCGTAGAACTGAGTCATAGTGACTGATTGGGGTAAATCCTATGCCTTTCTCCATACTCAATACTAGGTGTACGCTAAGAGCAATGACGACTGGATTAGCGGTTAAGGTGCTAAGAGGTTTTAAGTAAATACACCTACTGACTTTTAAACCAATATAATATAAGTAAAAAAAATATTGAGAAACGATATCATAGAACAGTATTTGTAGTTAGTTACAAAATATTATAACACAGTTATATTAGTTTGGAACTAACTATGTATCAAATTTTAGGAATTCCTAAAATATGCCATTTATAATATTTACATTGGTTAGTAGTTTCAATTTTTTTCTAGTTACGCTAGTACAAAAGTGAATTAAAGTTATAGCTTGGTTGCATGGTATCTAGTATGTATGTCTCGTGATTTTAATTTGACAAGTGTCAGCAAAGAGCAAATGATGCCTTTAGCTAACACAAAAACACTATAAGCATTTAAATCTGCGATTGTCGTTTATGCACTATCAGAGGGACCAAATGTTTTGAGATTTTTAGTTTATGCAATGTTTCATCGCCACTTACATAAAAGTTATATAATATAGTATCAATATATGTAAGAAGATTCTTTTATAAGTAGAAAAAAAATCCGGGATATTACACAGGACAGTCACAATAGTCGGAAATACCAATAGATATACTGACAGACCTTAGATGTATATTCTCTATCGGCTATTGGTAGAGATGGGCAATCCACCTGGGTGGGTTTAAAGTCTGGTGGGTAAAAACCGGGTGTTTTGGGTTTATTGGGTTTAAACCCCATAAACACCCAAATTTTTGGGTGTTTATGATTTTGTACTTCATCATCGTCATCTCAGCCGCAAGACGTCCACTATACTGGACATAGACAATATTATTATGCAGCCTACAGAATAAAAAACTTTTAATTTGATTTTGAGTTTATTAAGAAAGAGATGAAAGTAAAATGTAAAACTACAGTCAATCACTGTCAGATTCAGAGTTATTACAAGCGATGAATTGTATAGGTTCGATAGGCTCTATTTCGTCTAAACTGTTATGTTCATTTACTTGCTCAATGAAAGCTTCTAAGGTATTTTTTTCATTAAACTGAATGTCCTCGCATTCAGCTTTATGTTTAAGATTCCAGTTATAACAAATGAATGAAATTTTTTCAGTTCTTTCAGTTGTAAGTCGATTTCTTTTGTTATTATGTATGTAGCCTTGGATACTAAAGGAACGCTCAGTGGCTGCCGAAGTACATACGAATCGCTACTTTGCTTAACTCAGTGGAACCACAAATACCTTTCCACCATATTAGGGGCTCAATGCTATCTAATGAGCTCCATACAAATCCTCTGGCCCAAAAGTTTTCTTTAGCTTTATAACACGCCAAATCTGCCATTACATTTGACAAACTTAAGTGTTGGCTTAAATTGTAGATAAACTCCATACCCTTAAGTTCTTCCTCTTGAGTAAGTTCGACTCCTAGAGTCCTGGGGTCTAGAATATATGCTGCAAAATGTATTGGCCTCATTGCCATATTGCATCTTGAAGATACTGATGTTAGAATCTGCTGTTTGCTTTCTTCGCTCAATGTCGAAATCTCATTTAATGCAAAACGTATCTTAGCTTGTACATCTCTAAATGTAATGTATGTGCGATGCAAACGATTCTGGTCGCTCTCTAAGTAAAATATGCTTTCAGTGACTGGTTCCAAAATACTTATACATTCCCCTGTCTTCGTCCAGAAATCATCACTTAGAATTAAATCTTTAATATCTCTTGAAATTACCACATCTTCTCTAACTGTTAATATTTGAAAAGCTATCTTATTTGCTTTCAAACTTTTTAACGAAGTAACATGACTTCCCCATCTTGTAGCACAAGGCAATTTTAGTGTTTGTGTAGAATCTTCACCCTGCCTTGATTTTATCAACAAGGAACTTAATCGTTGACTCCTTTTAACAGTTTTTATTATATTTATGGCTTGCATAATAAACACAGTTACTTCTTGTATCTTTACAATATCTTGGCACAACAAGTTAAGGATATGTGCACAGCAACCGAGAGGAACAACATGTGGATATTTGAGTTTTGTTAATTCGAATGCCTTTTGTATATTTCTAGCGTTATCGCCAATAAGTACAAGAAACTTATTTGCTCCATACACTTTCATTACTTTTTCAACTTCTTGGCTAAGGTATTCACTAGTGTGAGGATTACTTTCTGTATTCAAACTTTTAACGTATGCAGGTTGAGGTTTTGATATAAGAAAGTTTATTATTCCTTCATTTCTTAAATTAGACCAGCCATCGCACTGAAGGTGTAAGTAACTACAAGCATTTAGTTCCTCATTTAACTCAAAACGCATTTCTCTATATATTTTATCTAAGTATTTTGTCGCTAAAGCTTTACGTGAAGGTATTTTAAATTTTGGTTGCAATTTTTCGAAAAATTGTATCCATAAAGGATGTTGCACCATCGATAATGGCGTCCCTGTTACAAATATAGCTCTCGCTAATTCTGTTTTTATATGATCATCGGTGTCTTGAAACTCAGCATTTATTGTAGTGTTAGCAGACGACGAGGGGCTTATAAAAGAATCATTTGTCTCTATCTCTGACAGTCCAGACATTTTGGTTTTGGACGAGCTATCTTTTATAAGTTTCATAGAGTCTTTTAATGTTTCTGGAGATTTTGGACAAGTGATAAGATGTTGAAGCATTTTGGCAGCATTACTGAATTTGTAGACCTTATTACAAAGCTTGCAAGAAACAGACTTGTTTGGTAAAGTACGGTAGTGCTCCCATATGCGTAAATCTTTAGGTCTCCCCATTGAACCTAAAAAAATGAACGATGATTAGTTGGTCTGACGAAAATTCAACAATAGAGTGCCTATTTTTTTACAATGATTATTTCTTGTTATTTACAATAAATTTATTAAAAAAATAATAAAATAAATACAAAAAACCTTTGTAAAATTACATCTCCTCGGAGGATTAAACGCAGACGCTAGTTTATTATCGTATTGTTCTGTATTTTTCTCAGCAACTTCTTTAATTCGATTAGGTACTTACGCATATTATGTTAAAAATAAATATCTAGTACACATCTTAGGCTATCCACCATTATTATCCAATGACGACTCTCAGCTAACTATGCACTATCATCCAAAATAAACGTGTATGGAAAATTTTATCCCAGTCGGTTGAGGATTGAGGATAATTGCATCAACATACGAACATACCTACATACTTTTATTTACATAACGCAAGCTAAATAAAAGCTTGTAATAATACATCTAATTTTAAGTTAAAATTGTTAAGTGATCATGATATAATTGTATCATTCAAAAATCCACTTACCTTTAATTATTTCTTGTTAAGTATAAATATTATTTCAAATCTGCTCCCTTAATATGCACTTTTTTACTGCTTTTCCTACCTAACACGTTACCAGGAAGTCACGTTACCAGAGTCAGAGTAATAGTGAACACGTTTGACAGTGATTGTCGTCGCCTCATATTCAGCGTCGACGAATAGGGGAATCCCCAGTCATAATGTATTGCATGCGTGGCGGTCTTACTTCAAATCCATAAACAAAGAGATAATTACAGAACTCGATACTAGATGGCGCTGTTTTTGTTTGAAGAAAGTTTGCGGGCTAAAATACATAGAATTTCATCAATGACTTCCACAAAGAACAACATTTCTGTTTTTTTTAAGTCCGTATCTCTTCCGTATATTTCATAAGATATAAGCTTGGGCTACATTGTTATGCAACGTGATTTTGTCGCTGTCTTGCTAGCAGGGTTGACAGATATACGATTTAAATCGTACTCATACTATTATTTGTCTATTTTTTAATGTACGATCGTAAAGATTATGATCGTAATTCGCACAAAAACATACGACTTTTTGGTTACCTGGCAACATTTTTATTATGAAACGAACATGCTCACATCATCAGTCACATGCAACAATTTATTGGGGATTTCCCCTTCACATCTGGCAGTCCTGCTTGCTAGAATACGAGGTCTGTCCGGAAAGTTCGTATAAAAGTGTTCTGGAATGCGAGAAAGAGGAGTGGGGAGGCCAGGTAAGCGCAGGACCCCTTCCTTATGTCCCTAACAATGCTTCAGTTCTGGTCTGACCGCCGTGCGGTGCGAACTGGCTTGTCACGCCATCTGTGAAGTTACCTCTTAACGAAACCCCGTCGGCATGGAGCCCGCTTCCGTTGAAGAGCAGCGCGTCGTAATCAAGTTTCTCTCGAAACTCGGCAAGAATGGCCGTGAAAAGCAAAGAGTGGAAGACATCCGGGGAACCACGAACAAAAAAATCAAGAAAATCCCGCTCAAATGTCAAGACAATGTTGATTGTTTTTTTCGATGTTCGGGGGATTGTCCATCAAGAATTCGTCCCTCCAGGCCAGACAGTTGATGGAAAATTCTACGTCGATGTGCTCAGACGCCTCAAAGCTCGTGTGGCACGAGTTCGTCCAGAATTGGCGCGAGAGGGGCGTTGGATTCTTCACCACGACAATGCCCCTGCCCACACCTCTCTTGTTGTCCGTGAGTTTTTGAGTAAAAATTCCATTACGGTGACCGAACACCCCCCCTATTCGCCGGATTTGGCCCCGTGTGACTTCTTCTTGTTCCCAAAAACCAAATTGGTACTTCGGGGGCGGCATTTGGGGGACATAAATGAGATAAAAAAAGCTACGACGGGGCAGCTGAGAAACCTACAACCAGAGGACTTTCAAGGAGCCTTCTCACAGTGGAAACGGCGTTGGCACAAGTGCATTATGTCACAGGGGGAGTACTTTGAAGGGGATAAAATTGATTTACCTGAATAATTGTAAAATAAAATTTTTAAAAAACTTTTATACGTACTTTCCGGACAAACCTCGTATAGGTAAGTCAGCCACAGTTACTGACGATCGATATTTAAAGGGTATTGTTTTTGTGCTAAATATTTCATAAAAACGTTATTTAATACTTTGTGGATTATTAATTTAGTTGATAATCACTGGAAGTAAAATGGATGCTAATTTGAGAGATCAAGATCTTCGTATAAAACAGTTAATAAAAGAAAATCTACGTAAGTACTCTTTTTATACCTAGGTAGGTAAGGTATAATAAACACAAAAGGTACTTAGATCGCGTGTGTTCGAAGCATTTATTCTAATAAATTTAATTTAAAATTGTAGAAAGAAAAAAATGTCTGCCAAGCCGTAGCCGAAGCCGATCTCCAAATATATTTGGCGATAGTGAGACCCAGTGTCCAGATGATTTACCCAGCGTCGTCGCAACAAAGAAAAAAACGAGGATAAAGTAAAAGAAAATTTACTGAAAGAAGAAACAAACTGTTCTAAATGCTTAATTTATGGAGAAGAGGATAAAAGAAATGAGTATTTCGGACTGTTAGTGGCTCAAGAATTTAAATATATACGGCCATGTGTGCGAACGAGGTGTTATGAAGAAATTTTAAAGTATCTACGGGAAGCAAAAGGCCAACATGTTGATCAACTGCAACATGAAAACACTGAAAATTAATTACTTTCATTTTATTATATATAGATTTTTAAAATTTCCTGAAATATTCTTAGTTAACGTTTTATTTAATATTGTAGAATTGATCAATACAATTTATAAAAATAATTTATTGGTATTACTTACATATTTTCAAAAAAATACGTAAAAACCTATTTTTTTGGGTGATTATGGGAGTTTATGGGTGTTTATTGGGTTTTTACCAAAGCACCGGGTTTAAACCCGGTGCTTTGCCCATCTGTAGCTATTGGTGAGGTACGCTAATAAGGGATAATGCTAAATATCAAATGAATTACGGAGTAGGAATTTTCGAAATTTTCTATAGTAAATTACAAATATATATTTAAAAGCGAATTCAAAACTTTTTTCTGTGTTTCACTTCGCATGCATTTTTGCGTGCATTACGCTATATCTACTGAATCTGTTTTGATAAATTAGATTTTGCAAACGATAGTGATTTTCTGATATTGGACTGAAGTTGCTGTTTTATCGCAAAACAAAAATTTTAATTCTTTTTGTACAGTGAAGGTTTGCCATCTTCATAGTATATTACACGATACAGTTCTTACAGATTCTAAGCGGTTATCGAAATGATTCACAACGACAGTACTTGAGAGTGTATTTGAAACATATTTATATTACTATTGCCTACGTTTACATCGATAATTTATATAGCTGGTTAGTTTAGCTGCGCCTCTAGCGGATCGTTTCGGAAACTCAAATTTTCATACAAATCAATTTACGTAAAAGCTAACACAGTAGACAATAAAACTGCATTAAGCACATATTTAGAACTTGGCAGTGTTATTTGTGTGTTGTCGACTTTTGTGACATAAAGATCTAATCTCACCGTTCAAATGGGGAGACTCCTATAGAAGTGCATAGTTGTTATGAGACAGAAATAGTTGAAGCAAAGTTGCTGTAGATGATTTTGTACAAGATCTTGTTAGACCTTTATAATTAATGCTTACAGAGACAGTAAAAAGCTTGTTCCTGAGAGATCAAAGTTCATTTATAATTAAATTTACGGAGAAATGTTATGAATTCTTTAATTACTAACATATATTTAGCAGATTGAAGTTATGGTAAATAGTTATTATCATTTTTAGTCACCGCTGAAGCAACAAGATCATACAGGAATTAGTACAGTACGTTTGTAAATACTACTTACTTGGCTATGAATAGATTCATCGATTGTTTCATCAGTACGGACGGATGAAGGCGACAGCAATAGAGTTCTGTACTCCCCCTCGTGCTGGACAGGGAATGACGTGTAGTTTTGCACTGGGGTCCTGGGTAGAGACTCGGGACCGCGCCCTTGCCAGTTTCCTTGGCTCGTCGGAAGTGGACTGGGTGTTCTGGTCAACATAATGACATATAAGTTAAATAAAAATATACATATAAATGCCTATAGATTGCATATACAAAAATTTAAATCGGCGAAGAATCGGAAAATTTATAAATGAGAACCGCCCTCCGTTTTCTAGATGTTGAAAAGCATCTTTTTATATAGATAACAGAATGAAATCTCTCATATAAAAACATTGAAGTAGACATGCAATCATGACAATACAGATTATAAGTTGAAATCCACCACCATTATAACATGTAGGGCGCTTTCCCCACATTTTTTAGATGACTCTTCTGAATTGCGTATCGTTTGGAAAGACACAATGTTTGATTTTTCCAAAGATATTGAAGATTAAGATTAACTACCCTTTTTTTCACGTCCTGACAATTTACGCCGCGTACTTCCTTAGCTACGCACTAAGCTGACAGCCTATAGACATTTCAGATTTTTTTATGTTAACAGAAACTTTGTTTAGATATTTGTTATAAGTAAGTGTTTTGCCGTTTTAACTCTATGTTCCTATACTTAATAGAAGTAAACAGCTTCGATATTTTTGACGATGACATTTTTTAGTACGTTCGCGAACATGAAGTGTAAGCACTTTAGTTATGGCTTATGAATATGTTAATACATGGTGAATCCGAAATCATTATTAACCTTTTAAAAGAGCTTGCAATCAATGAGACTTAATTTTTTTTTCCAAAATACGAATAAACATAAAAAAATTTAGTTAACTAACTTGATAACAAGACCTACTATTTTAGTATAAGAAACACTTTTTTTGTTGATTTTTTATTTTTACGCAATCAATAATCAATACGCTAAAGATTTCGATTTCACCTGGTGTTTTACTATTAATTACATCTAAATATGCGTCATGAATACTTACCTGAAGGATGGAGGAACACTGCTGGGAACCGGCGACCTCGGTATGTATGGAATCGCCCCCACCACGTCTCGGTCCGCGTCCCTAAGCAAACCATGCCAAATGTGATGCTGAGATTCGATTAAATGAAATTAATGTAACGCTGCATCAGTATTTTTGTGTCTTTAAATACAAAATTTTATTTAACAAGAATTCATCGCTATGATGAATGGATTCTATTAGTAAGTACTAGGAGAAGATGCAATGCATTGTTTTAATCACAGTACGTAAACAAGAATACTTACTAAAAATATGTAACAGAAAAAAAAAGAAATGGAAAGTATTCAGACAAAAACATTGTTCATGCACCTATTTGCATACACAGGTATGTCCAATACAAGGAATCGAGAACAAAAGTTCTTTTTTTTGTGTAGATTATTTCTATTATTAACGCGTATGCGTTTTACATATTCGTCATCTACGAGATTATGGACAGGTTCTAATAGTTGTACAACATGTAATACTTATACATACGAGTACATGCGGAATTAGGAATAATTTTCTAGTTTTAAGAAGTATCAGGAAAATCAAAAGTAAGTACTATGATACTGAATACAGATAATTGTAGTTGGTAAATATTTTGAAGATATCTAAATTATACGGTATAGTAGTAGCACTGTATACTGTACAGTATTACTACTAGTTTTAATGATTGGATTACGTTAATTAAAATACTGTATAATTTATCCACTATATATGAGTATATAAGCTTAAAATTTAAAATGTAGAAAATATCTAGGTTCAGTATCATATAGAGAAGTCGGTTCAGAAATAGGTAATACATCGAGTAAATACGGAGAGACACCTATGATGCACCATGCACAGGTGCTACGTCTTACTCAGCGTATTCGTGATAGAAGGTGGGAGTGGGCACTCGGCCTACATAGCTCCCTGTCGCACGTGGCACTGAATATAGATGAGAGCTCGAACCGCCCCTGTGTGTTTATTTTATAACATATTTAACGGAGAAGACGATCTAAAATATTCTAGAATTGGCTCTTTAGATTTTTATTTATTATCGCCTAATAATAATAGACATAAGATACAATGGGTAGTAAGGTAAACAATATATTCTAGTAGATTATATATTTAGGACATACATATACAGCGTGGCTACTTCTGCCGTCTATCATTTATATCAAAGGATTACAAATAGAAATATCGAAATAAAATAAAACCCACATGGCTGCTTCCCAGAAGGCATAAAAGACTATGTATCTACCTACGTAATGAATATGAAACTCTACTATCAATAAATTATACCCAAGTAGGTAAAATAGTTAAGATTTAGATTTTTAAATGCACTGCCCACGATTTGAATCGTTTCATGTATATATAGTATATATAGATAACCAAATGAAAGCTAAGTGATAATTTCCACATAGAATTTTTGCTATTCATCCCATTTTCATTTCGTACTTTAATAGGATCATACTTAAAATCAGCATAATTTAGTAAAGTGATGTAGCAACATAAAGAGTATATATATGATATATTTTTCTATATTACTAATATTCTTTTGATGCTATCATAAGTTCTAACTTTCACATTAATCCTTGCCGTGTGACCCGGTATAGAACGGGCCACCCCTTTCTTTTGCTGTGTTTAATGACATGTACTTATAAAAATATTCAGTTTAGAGCGCTATATTTTGCTGTCTGTGGGCATACAAATATTATAAACACTTATCGTCTTTAATCTAGAGGTAAAAAATGTAAAACTAATTTATAAAGATGCAATTTAAGAATACATATTTTGAATATTACCAGAATTACCAGGTCGAATTTGACGGGGATAGTGTTACCCAATGTAGTTTTTTTCGCCATAGATCACAATAATTACCGAGCCTTCGAGTTAGGATACACTGGGTTATGAGAAACCAGGCAATCTGGGCGCATAATTCAGATCTGAGCCTTAACTGGCTCGACTCAAAATCACACTGATTCCTTTATGTATGCATAAGTAACGTGTCTATTACTACGTTACACTTATATATTTATTAGTTAATTAGTAGGTATTAAAAATACCCAAGTATCACACTTAACAGTATATTAGTAGCAAATTTTTACCAATTCTAAACTAATTAGGAAGAAAAAAAATACTTGTATCTTTTGAGAATATACGTAACAAATATAATCCAGAAATTTTAACACGTGACCTAAATTTTACTTTTCCAACGCTGAACAACTCTTTGAACGTATGTGGTTTTGCAATAGGTAATTGGATGTGTAGCAGCTGTTCAAACCATATGCAGCTATAACAATAACGACTTCATAGGTATCTACATATTTTGCACGCGTACGTCAGCATCATTTGTATTTTTAATGATTTGTCTATTTGTCATGTCTTAGTAATTATTTTGTTTAAAGATGAGACGATAATTGAATAAAATTTTAATTATCGTTTAATTATATATATATTTATATATATATATATATATATATATATATATATATATATATATATATATATATATATATGATTATTAATTATAAAATTAGCTAATGTAATTTATTGCCAAGAATTGCATTGCAGTTGTGTAATTTGTTGGTAATAGTTTATTTTATTTGTTTCTTGAAATGGTTAAGAAATAAGTGGTAATTCTTTGTTTACCTTTGGACAACAATTTTTATTTGATTGCGGGCATTTTTGAAGAGGTTCTGTGCGTCCTCGTGGCGTAGATCCCGCGCGTCGTAGTCATCTATCTTAGCGATGATGTCCCCTCGGACCAGCTCTCGACCGGCCGGAGTGCCTGGTGTCACCTGTAAATGTATTAGATAAATTGATATTAGATGCATTATTATTTATTGTACTATTTTTACGAGATATTTATTGCTATTACATATAATACCGTATCGTTTTTATAATTTAAAATAGTCTCATTAGGATGTGTGTTGATCCTGGTTTTGAAATATGAAACAAACTGAGAACAGTCTACAGCATGGAAAATGCTAACCATCACCTATAGACATGAACAGCAAGACATTAAAACACACTGTGACTCTTATAGTACCCTTCAATCATTGCATTTCCTACGAATTATAGTGTTACTGTTATGCCTCCATACTCTGTGATCTAATTCACCTAGGTTTATGAGTATATTTTTCCTCAAGCCACTTGTTCTGGCTTAGCTTTTTTTTTTGTGTAAAGACTAAAGTTTTTAAAAACTTTAGTTTTTTTAAATTTGTTTAATTTTATATATGGGCTATTCGTTTGCCCGCGAGTTCCATCTTACATCATACCGTCGTTTTCTACCAGGTGAGACTGTGATCAATCGCGGGATTTTTCAATAGTAAAAAAAAATCAAAACATGTTAGGAAAACCATTTCTAATAAAGTTTACAGCTCTACAATAAAAAAAAGTATAGTGTAAAATGTTTTTTAAATCCATTTGTAGACAACTATTCCTGTATACCCGCTTCTGAAAGTAAAGGTATTCATGACTAGAACGACAATGTACGAGTATGAAACCGACACGTAACTAATGTAATGACCTACTTGTACCTGTTATGTCATATTTAATGTCACTCGAAGGTTGGCGATAAGACCGTGACATTCTGAAGTTTGGGTGAGACAATAATACTTTAGATCATCGTCAAGGTGCAATCGTTATTTTAATATCGAATATTTTCTTGTATTTTATTTAAATTTTAATTAATTAGTCTGTAATGACAGGCGGGTTTTAAATACACGCCATTATGGATTTTTTTAAAATCTCACTTTATCAATAAAATTCTGTTTAACGTCACTTTCATAGAACGTAAGCTTTCCTATCACATAGTAACAACATGCTTAATTTGTTAAAAATTATTAATCAATTTGTAATTGTTATCATGTACACGTAATGTAGACACAATATGTATTATAACTTGGCCACGTCTATTTGTTGCCTTTTTCAGATTACTTGTCACAAAATAATCTCGCTTTGTTTCAAATAAATCATTGAGTAGAGCTACCAGCCGCTCTCCAGGAATATCAAGGTGTTTCTAATTATTCCGTTAAATGGTTGGATTTATATGAGCTATTCATTTTTATATCATATAAGAAGTAAAAACTCAGAACAAAACTGATTAGCAAAAAGTTTATTTTTATCACAGTTCAAAACTCATCATGTGGTATCACTTGTAGTAATTAGTACAAAGGGTTTGGATGCATCGTTAGCTAGGGCGACCTTGTATATGGGCAAGGGGTAGGCGGGACGTATGCACCGCTTGGAATGAAGCCAGGCTAAATGCGTACGCCGGCGTCGCCGCGCCAACCTGACATTTTTATTGAAAACAACCGTCGGATCAGATAGAGGCCGCGTCACATCGACGGCTAGACCTGCGCAAATCCATCACACACTTCCTCGAGTCAATGGCGAGGGCATTCGACTATATTTACACTTGTCCATCAGCGGCAGGCGCGTGTCATCGGTTGCCGTTGAGGAATTCACGTGTCGACGTCAATTCGACGCACTCGAAACCTTAACTGCGAAGGTGTTGCTTCTCGGGTGTTTGTTTGTATATTGCAAAAATATGAAATCTATGCATACGTTTATTAGATATAATGACATATTATTTTTATAAGACAGAGGGTAAACAAGCATGGGATCTATTTATTCTATGACTACACTGTCAACGAACACCCATAACACAGGAGGATTTACAGAGAATTGTTGACCTTTAAAAAAGGTTAAAGATTGGCCATTTATAGAGTTTGTTATAATGGGTACATTAAGCCGAAACTTTGATATTAATATAAATTATTAACATTTGGCTCAAGCAAGAAGTTAAAACGAAAAAAGAAATTAATTTTTGGACCTGAATATTAAATTAATAAAATGAATTGTTTATTTTGAAGCTTCGAGTCTGACACTCCTTGAGGAAAGTTGTTCAGTTTCATGATTATACATATATTTATCTATATGTACTTCGAATATTATATCTGGGTCGCTTTTGTCTTTTTATTAATTGATTCATATTTTATTAGCCAGAGAAACTAAAAAGCCCGTTGAACGAACCGCGGAGCATCTTCGTACGTGAAAATGGATTAAATAGTCAATACTGGTAACATGTAAAAAGACCTTTCGCCTTTAGCCATACTATTAATATCTACAGGCGGCATGACATACCTAGAATTTTTTATTTCCCTTTTCTTGCACTATTGTATTATGCTATGCTTTTCTAGTTGTCTCTACCACATTATGGTAATGAAAAAAGAGTGGTGACATATTGTAATCCGTCATCATACGGAAACAGTGGTTTTTAAAAGATGTAAGTATCCCATGGGTGGATGTGGATTTATACATTTGTTATATCATCATCATCATATCAGCCTTTCTAGAACTCATGTATGTTCAGCAATGGACAGTTGTCTATTGCTGAACATAAACCTCCCTCTAAGGGGGTTTTGCTAGTAGTTGCCACGCTTGGCAGGCGGATTGGAAACCGCAGTTTTTGGAGATATTTTCAGAGGGGCCCTACTGCCCATCCCTCGTCTTCTTTTGGTCGTTTTTTACGACACCCATGGGAAAGCAAGGGATGGCCTATTCTATGTCGGAACCACATGGCTAATTAGTCATATACAAAGAAGAAAATATAGAAAATTATCGACATTTTAATATTTTTTCTAGCTTATGTTGTTCAAAGTCATTGAATCATTAATATTTACATTGAGACCGTTGTAAAAAGTGAAATCTCGCATATATCAAGGGCATCGAGCCGTTGCCAACTATTGTCATGAGTTATGTTAAAATGGTGTGTACATATTAAATAGATTTTTAGATAACGTCATATAAAACAATAATAATGAAAACAAGTGTACAGGTAGTACGCACGCGCGAATAGTTCCGTAGTCAGAGAAAACCGTTGTGTAAAATCATTAAAGCTGAACACAATGTATAGGTGTATCTCAAAATCATGTTCTTTTAAATTGACCTTCTTTAATTAAAGTGTAGATAATACACAGAAGTACGCGAATACCCTAGGTGCACGTTGACAAATTGTAAAATTCGGGTTTAAGCTGCAAGCTTCCTCTAGTAGGATTTACCAAATAAAAAATTACGATATTGTAGGTAACATACTGACAAATATTGTAAAACATGATTAAATTAATCAGTTTCAGACATTTGGTTAAACATTTTAAAAAATGAAGTTGTGAATTCGTTTGCCTATTATGACGACTTCATAATAACCAAGGATGGGTACAATATGAGTAGAATGCAAAACGGAATAGGTAGTAGGCAAACCAATAGTAAACATAAACTAATATATTTTCTATTTCAGTTCTACGAATGTATATAATATACGAACACATTATTGAGAGCTATCGATCGATTGACTCACCTCTACAGACGCCATATGTAGAGGAAGTAATCAAGTATTTTAATGGCAACGTAAAGAAAACGGGCTCAAGGCCTCTGCCTGATTGATTTATGGCGATGAAGGTCGGAGATCAGATAAAGTAAATCGATATTTTTTTGCGCAAATTATGTGGGTATCGGCTACTACATAGGTTCTCAGCATAGACGATAACACTCTCTTGTCAGATATTCCGTCGGTCAAGTTGGACTTACCATCTCTAAAAGAGCTGGTAAGTAAAATTAAGATGAGGACTCTAGAAAAAAAAAAACATATGGCAAAGTTGGTGATGAGTAAAATAAAGTTTTGAAACTATGCTAAGCTATTGCTTCTGACTAAGTCCTATCTTCTGTCGCACCTTAGGCAGGTTCCAACGAAATACATGAAACGAAGGAGAATTTCAAGGAAGTGAATAATATGACGTAAAAATAGAATTATATTTAAAAAGATACGAAAATTTGGATTTTAAAGTCATATAGGCATTTACGTGTGTAAATATGACATGAGGTTGCGACAAGTCAAAAATGAATATGTTCCATTTTTTGGCCTATCCTTGGTACCTATCAATCTGAAAAAGCACTAAGTAAGGACTTAACAAAGTAAGCGACATTTTGTACACCAGGCTGTTCTCCTGAAAAGTATCGTGTTTAATTCCTGACGAATTCCTCACGATTGGCTAGCTGACCTATCTTCGTCCTCACTTATAATCCGTCATTGGTACCACGCCAGCGTATACCGATAATACAGTAGAGATAATTACTTCATTATCGTCCATTAAAGAAAAGATCTACTGTAGAGGCCTAAATATATTTACGTGATATAATGAAATTGGACTACTCAAGCGCACTATTTTAGTTGGTAATAATCCTAAATGCTCATTCTAAATACTCGTCTAAAGCGTTATAATAGTGATATGAGCTTGTACGTTATAAAGTTAAAAGTATTATGAAAAACAAATGTACAAGACATTTTAATGATATTTCCGACTTTTACTGGTTTAAACACACACACATCACTTAATTTATCTTTAGATATTTATGATTAACTAGGTTATTCATATCTAAGTTATTTATAGTGGTCGAAAATTTGCAGTGTTTACAAAAAACAACGTAAGAAATAATGTATGTGAAAGATACATCATAACGTGAAAGATCTAAATTTAAAAACGAACTTTTCGACTCCTTAATGTATCTCATGTAAAAGATTTTTTAATTGCGTAGTACTTGATCCATCTAATAAACAAAGATTTTGGTCTACAAGAAGCATTGACTTCAATGGGGCAAAACAAAAAAAAAAGGAATTTTAATTTAAAATTCATTTCAGATAAAAAAAAGAAATTTGAAATCAGTTTTTAACTAACAGAGTTCTAAAGTAATAAATGTAATAAAAAAAATTTACGGAATTGCATTTCTGTAAAATTTT